AAAAATTTTTATAAAAATATTTCACATAAATTTTTACGATTGACTTTAAAAAAAATAATAATAATATTAGTTGTAACTAGTGTATTATGAATAATATAAATAAAATAAATAAAATCATGGATATAAGTTTTAAAATAAATTATATAATGATAAAGTAATTTTTTATACAAAATTTGAGTAAAAATTCAATTTAATAACAATACCACGAAATCATGAGATATCACTAGCCAATAATAAAGAAACACATGGAGGGTGAACTCCACATATCAAATATAACTAATAATCCAATAATTTCATATATTCATTAAGGTTAATTATGTTTGCATGTCAATAATGATAGACATCACCATTATATTAAAATTTTCATACATAATAATATGACTTATCATAGTCTCTTTATTTTCAATCAAAACAATTATTATTGTTCTCATAATTTTAAAAATGTCATTGACATTTCATTCTAAAAAATATTTAATCATTTTTTTATTTAAAATATTTTATTTATATTTGAAAAAAAAAATTCCAAAACGTAGAGGGGGTACGTGACACCCCGGACCCTCTATGCCTCTGCCATTGAGTTCAAATATAAAGTTTAGATCCGTTTTTCAACGCAATTGATGGCATGATGGCAGGATAATAGTCCTGAATTGAGTTCAAATATGAAGTTTAGATCTGCCTTTCAACGCAATTGATGGCATGCCATCATAGTCCTGCATTGAGTTCAAATATGAAGTTTAAATCCGCCTTTCAAAGCAATTAATAGCATGATGGCAGGATAATAGTCGTTGGTTTTTTTCTATTGACATCATTGGGTTTTTTCTATTTCCCTCCAATATGAATAGTCAGTACACACTATCTCAACATGGCATGAGATAATAGGGCGTGTGTAGACATAATTTCTTATATCATATCTATATATATATATTCACAACCACCATCCCACAAGAACCACAACTCCAAGTAATTCATATGCATAACAATAATCACTTCATGTCTATGCCAATTTTGATCCTCTTTATTTCCTTGACCCTGTCATTCCTACCTTTATCATTTTCAACACCATACATACATAGCTTAAACAAAGGCTCATCCCTCTCCGTGGAGAAGCCAGACCAAGTTTTGATTTCACCAAAGGGGGTATTTTCAGCTGGATTTCACTCTGTCGGCGACAATGCTTACTGCTTTGCAATATGGTTCAGTGAACCATTGTATGATGGGAGTCACACCATAGTCTGGATGGCTAACCGAGACCAACCCATTAACGGAAGACTCTCAAAGCTCTGCCTCTTGCAAAATGGCAACCTCATCTTAACAGATGCCGGCCAACTCAACGTTTGGGCCACCGGCACTGAGTCAATCTCTTCAGCGCAATTGCTACTGAATGACACTGGTAACCTTGTTCTTCTTACTTTAGAAGGTTTGATTCTTTGGCAAAGTTTTGATTCACCAACCGATACCCTTCTTCCCAACCAACCACTCATTAAAAACAAAAAGCTTGTGTCATCTCGAAGCCAAACCAATTATTCTTCTGGTTTCTACAACCTCTTTTTCGACAATGATAACGTCCTCCGTCTTCTCTTTGCTGGCCCTGAAACATCTAGCATTTATTGGCCAGACCCATGGCTAAACAACTGGGAAACTTTAAGGTCCAGTTACAACGATGACAGAACTGCAGTTCTCAACTCCTCAGGGCATTTCAAGTCAACCGATAATTTTGAGTTCACAGCTGTGGATTCTGGCATTGGGACTCAGAAAAGATTAACTATGGATTATGATGGCAACATTCGACTCTACAGTCTAGACAAGATAGGCAAAATTTGGAGCGTTTCGTGGCAAGCCATCCAAAAGCCATGCAATATCCATGGTATCTGCGGACCCAACAGTCTGTGTACTTATGTTCCCCTTGAGAAATTTGGAAGGAGATGTTATTGTATACCAGGGTACAAGATTAAAAGTCATACAGACCAATCTCTTGGGTGTGAACCAGAATTTAGTCTCTCTTGCAGCGATGGTGAGGCTGGTTTCCTTGAACTTCGTCATGTTGAATTTTATGGCTATGATATTACTTTCTATAGTAATTATACCTTCAAGATGTGTGAGGAGAAATGCTTGCAGCGTTGTGACTGTTGTGGGTTTCAATACAGATTTCACTGGGGCGATGGTGTTTACAAATTACAATTGTTATACCAAGTCACTATTGTTGAATGGATATCGTTCAACAGGTTTTCCAGATCCCATGTACATAAAATTGCCGAAAGTCACACTCAAATCCTATACAAATCATGTTCAAGGATTCAGCTCAGATTGCCCACGGCCAGTCAGTTTGCAACTTAATAGAACTTACAAGAAACCCCAAGAAAATGAGACATTACAGTTCTTGGTTTGGTTCGCCAGTGCTATTGGAGGAGTTGAGATTATTTGTGTATGTCTTGTGTTTTGCTTCTTGTATAGAACTCGTCCAGATTCTGTTGCAACTACACAAAGCTACCTTCAAATCGCTACTGGATTTAGAAAATTCACCTACAGTGAGCTAAAGCAAGCAACACATAATTTTGGTGAAGAGATTGGAAGAGGAGGCGGTGGCATTGTATACAAGGGTGTATTGTCTGATCATCGAGTTGCAGCAATCAAGCAGCTCAACGATGCTAACCAAGGAGAAGCTGAATTCTTAGCAGAAGCAAGCACCATTGGGAGGGTTAACCACATGAACTTGATAGAGGTCTGGGGATATTGTGCAGAAGGGAAGCACCAACTTTTGGTTTACGAGTATATGGAACATGGGTCCTTAGCAGAAAATCTTGCAACCAATACCCTTGATTGGGTGAAGAGGTTTGATATAGCAGTTGGTTCTGCGAAAGGACTAGCCTATCTACACGAGGAGTGCTTGGAGTGGGTTCTCCACTGTGATGTGAAGCCTCAAAACATTCTCTTGGACTCTAATTACCACCCAAAGGTTGCAGATTTCGGTCTCTCCAAGCTATTGAATAGAGGTGGTGGACATAACTCGAGCTTTTCTAAGGTCAGAGGAACAAGAGGTTACACGGCTCCTGAGTGGATTTTTAATCACCGAATCACATCCAAAGTTGATGTTTATAGCTACGGAGTGGTGGTGTTGGAAATGGTCACTGGAAAGAGCCCGCTTACAAATTCTCCTAGTTCTGGCAATTCAGGGGACATGGAACAGAGGCATTTGGTTAAGTGGGTGAGAGAAAAGATGAATGAAACTGTAGCAAAGGAATCATGGCTTGAAGAGATCATAGACCCAGTTATGAAAGGAAGATATGATGCAAGTAAGATGGAAATATTGGTTGGAGTGGCATTGCAATGTGTAGAAGAAAACAAAGATGCAAGACGAACTATGAGTCAAGTGATACAGAGGCTTGTACATCATGAGCCTAGTGATTATTAGCAAAGGCCTAAGCAAAATAAACAAATAATGTTTATTAGCAAAGGCATGAATAAAACATTGTCACGTGAATGCAGTGGAAGAAATTGAAGCTTTTCTAAATGTAGCAAGCAACAATCATGTCTCTCAGGTTGTGGGAAGTTAATTTTGACCTCTTGGTTTGTGAAAGATTGTCCTGTTCTTTTTCTTCTTTTTTTTTCTTTTTTTTTTTTTTTTCTTTGAACTAGTCCTGTTCTTTTTGTTGGTCAGGATCTTTTGTCCCAAAAATCTTTTGTCCTCCTATCCTAGTTTTTCTTTATCGTGAGGCATGTTTTGAGATTCTCATGTTAAAATGTTATTCCATAAGCATGTTTTGAGATTCTCAGATTAAAATGTTATTGATAAACCACATATTCAAAAAAACTTAAAAATAAATAAGAATAACGAAAAATTGTAATCCACACTAATTGAGTCGTTCTTTGTCTCTCATTTATTTAACAAAGATGAGTGACTATGTTTCACTCAAAAATTCACACTATATTGATTTGGATCATCATACACAATGTCACATAATACTCTGGAAATACTCGGTCATAATGGAAAAAATAAATTCTTATATAAAATTTTTGACTATTATTTTTGTAAATAATACCAAAAAAATTACATCTAAAAAAATAAAATAAATTTTTATGCTTTTATTTAGAAAATTAATAAATTACGCCTTACCTCAACTTGTGTCGCTCCACTACCTCCACCTTTGCAACCCCACTACCCCCAACCACTATTACCATTAATATAACTATTAAAGCGTAAGGCTAAGTTTGACATTCTCAAAAAAGTCAAAAAACTAAAAAATCACTATCCTATTCAAGTTATATCATCTTATTTAAGTCACATGACCTTCCTACCACATCATTTCAAGCACAACCCATATTTCATAAAAAATAAAAAAATACATTTATTTAGAATATCCCAAACAACCCCATAAGAACAAATCTAGAAAAAAAATTAAATACAAGAAAATAATTTTTATGATTTTTTTAATAAAATTATTTGGCACATCCGTAAAACAAACGGAACGTTAATCTTTTATTCTATTCATTTTCTTAAAGAATATTCTTGTTTTTGGATAATAATCTCAAATAAGGTTTGGTTAATTGAAATGGAGATGGAATGCCATTGATTTAGGTAGAATCAAATGAAATAATTATTTTTTTAAACTCAATAAAAGAATTATTCTATTATATTTTTGTTTCATTAAAATAAATACTAAGTCAAAAATAAAACCAAATTCAAAATAATAATAAAAAATCAAATACCCTGTGCAAGTAGCTCGGGCAATTTTTAACTAGTATATATACAAGACATTGAGGTTATCAAACCCATCACCAAAATGAAACAACTTGCTATTATATTTCAACCAGAGATTTCTACTTTCAACAAACATTTGGGGGTGAAGTACATTATGCAACCTGGATTTCAAATAATGGCAAAAAATGCAGTGGTTGTGGATGTTTTGGAAGTTAGAGAGAGAGAGAGCGAGAGAGAGGGAGAGAGAGAGAGAGAGATTGGCAATGGCAACGAAATGAAAATGACCCTGCAAGGCCTCAGAAGCTAATGCACAAGAAGGGTGGTCCATAAAAGCTAAATGACCTAGTAAGGCCACATGTGGAGGTTTTCAATTCATAACTGCCATAAATATGGTTGCACATATACATATGTACATGCATCTCTTTTTTCTTTTTCTTTTTTTAGTTTTATAAAACCAAAACAATAAAGGCATGAGTTATTATACCTTATTTTCTTGTGTTTTTATGGCAGCAAATTCAAAACAAAGTTCTCCCTTCATTCCCAAAATCAAGATGCCAAAGTCGAACTTGGGCAGCTATCCACAGCGCAGGCCAAGATGTCTCTATAATCGCGAGATATTCTGAAAGAATCATAAACATTCCCATCCCTGCTCTTCTTGTACTCAAACAGAAGGTTTGAATGATCAAATGCGGTGAGTTTTACGAATCCATAATCCAAATCCCTGAAAATACTCCAATGAGTTTGGATGGTGGTAAATGGTGAAAGGCTTGCTCCTGCACCCCCGGCAGCAACGTGTATTGTCCCATTAAGGGGTCCCTTGTAATAATGCTTCTCCTCATTAGTGCAAATATTCTGTACCAAGAAAAACATTGACAATCAAAATGTCATATAAATCCATAATGCCAGTTAATTTGATAGCTAACTGTATAGTCTCTTTTCTCATTGCTTCCTCTTAGTTTTTGCTTTTATCTTCTAAGGAAACAAAAAGAATAAATAAAATAAAATGTGTTCGAGAACCCCAACTGTGACAATTCGAAAAGAATAAACACAAACTTACAAAGAGATGACTAGTATCAGCACAACCCATGAATTGAAGAACCCCAATTTGCAAATGGTTCAAAATCCCAGTTTCAATCTCGTGGCCCTGTTTGTTTACCGTATATAAGGGCGGGATATGAGGGTGGGGAAGGATATAATAGGAGGTGGGTCCCACATGTTTTCTTATCTCCCACATCTTTTGTTTGGTTGCTCCAATGGTATTGTATATCCCCACCGTCGGATATAGGGAATCTTTCATCCAAAGGTTAAAAATAATCACTCTCCTCTTACCCATCCTATATCTTATCTTAACCAAACATAATATAAGTAACCCCACAATATATAATCCATCTCATATCCTACAACATATTATATCTCATCCTTGTCCTTAGATATTACATATCCTTCTCAAACCTTTATATCCAATCCAGACAATCAGGCAGGACCTAGGCTTTGTTTTAATCATGGATTTGGGTAAGAATTTGAAAAGGGAAAGGCAAAATGTGACTATATTTCATTCACATTTCATCAAACTTTTTCCTTCCCCTTTTTCCTTTTCTTTTCCAAATCCCTATCCAAATCCAAACACAGCCTAAGTGATATAAATAAAAAAAAGGATAAAGATGGGTTGAAAAGTATAATGGAATTGACTTCTGTACAAACAAATTCAAGTACCTGGTAAATGGGACATGTCCTTTCATAGTTGTGTACATGGCCAAACATGGCTATATCAACCTTGTACTTCTGCCAAAGCTTTTGAAGACTCTCCCTCCCCATTGGTTCTGCAAATGATCCTTCTACAGCATAAGACGCATCAGAGGAATAACCTAATACCCGATGTGCAAGGAAAATCAGCCATGGTTGTTTCAGTCTATCAGCAGATGCCAGGCAATGCTCGATGAACACATATTGCTCAGACCCCTCTCTCCAGTCTTGTTCTGTGTCAGCTATGCAGAATTTGAACATGCCATAATTGGTGGAGTACCTAGCAGAGAAAGATATGACACTTAAAAGCAGTTCCTCCTGGACTCGGGTTGCATGTGTTGAAACATGTCTATATTTCAACATGTCTATATAGAAAATTTACATTAAGTGAATTCTCTGCTGTTAAAAAAGCAAGAAAATCAGTGTTGGCAACAAACACAACCAAAAATGTAATTGAAGAAAATGGCAAAAGTGAAGGAGGAGAAGGAGAAGAAGCATGTGTTTCATATGCAATTTGCAAGGAATAGCTCTGGAATACAACATTATAAATATTCCAAATACTTCTGATATTTACGCAACTCATAGTCCTTCAATGTAAGAAACTATATATGATTACATTGTTACACGGTCTTGGGTAGAACTCACCCCAAAAGCTAGCTATTAAGGCGAGGGTGCCCTCACACTTCTATGCTTAATATTACTTTAGTACTCAGGCGATGTGGGCCTTTGCTTCACACTCTCCCTCACGCCCAGCGTGCTCACTCGGCAACACCTGCGGCGTGTAGGCCATGGACACGCACCCTACCCATCCTTGAGTAATCTGGCTTTGATACCATGTTACACGGTCTTGGGTAGAACTTACCTCAAAAGCTAGCTATTAAGGCGAGGGTGCCCTCACACTTATATGCTTAATACTACTTTAGTACTGAGGCGATGTGGAACTTCGCTTCACATAAACACCATCATCTCCTTGAAATAGCTCGATCTCTTCTTTTCTCTGCTTCTGTTCCGGCACCATTCTGGGGTGAGGCAGTTCTTACCGCTGCTTCCTCTTTAATTGCATGCCGACTCCCTTACTCTCCAGTCAATCCCCTTATGAGGCTTTGTATTCCCAACCTCCCAATTATTCCCTTCTGCATGTCTTTGGGTTTGCTTGTTTTGTCCTACTTCCTTATAAAGATAGGACCAAACTCAGTGCCCGGTCTATCTTGTGTGTCTTTTGGGGTTGCAGTCTTACTCAAAAAGGCTATCGCTATTACGATCCTGTCTCTCGTCGCCTTATGTCTCCCGTCATGTTGCCTTTCTCGAACGTCTGTCTTACTTTCAGCTTCCCCCTCTCACTACTCCAGTATCCAAAGAGGATTTAGTTCACATTGACCCATTTCCTTCTGAGGTCTCGTCTGATAAATACATTTCCACTATTCCTCTTGAGCTTGTTCTATCTTCTCCCCCTACTTCACCTCTGGCTGCTTCTCCTCCTTTGGCTTCTTCTCCTCCTCCGTTATTAGTTTATTCTCGTCGCAAGGTTCCTCCTCCACCGGTTGTCTCTGCCCCTACTGCTACTCCTCCTGCTTCTGACAACTCCGATTCTGCTGAACACCAATATCCTACTCGAGCGCGTCATTCTCCAAACAGGTTGGGTTGGTCTAATATATATTTTTCTACTTCTTTTCGTACTTTTTTGTCTGCTATTCACTCTTTTTCAGAACCTCAGTCTTACAAAGAGGCATGTCAGGATCCTCATTGGGTTCATGCTATGAAGGATGAGTTGTCTGCTCTACAGAAAACTAGCACTTGGGCGCTGGTTCCTTTGCTTGCTGGTAAGAACTTGGCTAGTTGCAAATGGGTTTACAAAATCAAGACTCATTCTGATGGGTCTCTTGAGCACTACAAAGCTCGTCTGGTTACCAAAGGTTTCTCTCAGGAGTATGGTTTTGATTATGAGGAGACATTTGCTCCTATTGCCAAGATGACTACTGTCCGTACTTTGATCTTTGTCACTACTATTCGTTCTTGGCCTCTTTATCAAATGAATGTTAAGAATGCTTTTCTTAATAGCCATCTCATTGAGGAGGTTTACATGCGTCCTCCTCCTGGCCTTCCTCATTCCTCTGGCCAAGTTTGTCGCCTTTGACGTGCTCTGTATGGTCTGAAACAGTCTCCGCGTGCTTAGTATGATCGTTTTCAGACTGCTGTTACACGGTCTTGGGTAGAACTCACCCCAAAAGCTAACTATTAAGGTGAGGGTGCCCTCACGCTTATATGCTTAATATTACTTTAGTACTCAGGCGATGTGAGACTTCGCTTCACATGCATATATATATACATATAAATAAAATACAAAACTACAACCAATTTAGTCCCATTTGATTTGGAAAGGGTTATGCTTTTTGTTTGGTTTTGGCAACTTGGCGTAGAAAGTAAGGAAATGTTAGATGGGGCTAGAAATTGCAGGATTTGTCCTTTCAAGGCCTTAATATGCAGAAATTAAGGCCTCCTAGCCATTGAGAAAGCCAATCAACAGTGACAAATCTTTCTGCAAACTGAATAGGTTTGTTGGCAAGTATGTCAAGCCATATAAGAATCTAGAAGATCCTACCAGCACAAGCAGAACAAATAAGAAGAATGGCAAGCCTTCCAGTACACTTGTCAGGAATTTGCAACATCCTGGAATATAGTGCAGAACCTGACATTCGGCCTGGAACATAGTACAAAACTTGACAATTCGGCCTTCAAAATAGTGCAGAACCTGACATTTCGTCTATACCATGGTGCAGGAACTCACAGTCGCCCATGACATGGTGTTGCAATTCATAGTCATCCTAGATATGGTACAGAACTTCACGGACAAGTGGCAAGATGACAGTAATTCTTGGAATCCTAATAGGGCAGGAGGTCATGAGGTTCTAATGATGTGGAAAGGGTTTGATGACATAGAAGACATGTGGCATGACAATAGCGCTACGGGAATAATGGCTCCAAGTAATGACATGGCAGTCGTAATTCCCTTTAATTAAATTAATTAAATGGATAAAGAAGAGAAACATTAATCAGCCCAACTGTTCCTCGAAAATAGGGGTGGTTGAGCAGCCCCACATGCTAAAATGGGTGTTGGATGATGGTCCATGTTCCTAAATAGTCGCTAAGTTAATCCACGTGGAGAGCAAGTTGAGATATAATGGGCCACATGACAACCATCCGATGAAATATGTTGCATATATAGCCGTTAGTGGGAAAGTGGTTGCTAAACTTGGGCTCCAAACAAGGAAACATGGAAACTTGGCACAAAATCAAGCAGACACGTTTTGGCAGTTGGAACAGAAACAATAGGTAGTTATTAGCTATTTTTTCATTATAAAAGGATTTCATGGCCAACATTTGAAGTGGTCCAACACCAATAACACAATATCAACTCTTGCCAAATCATTTTATCAGTTTATATTTTATTATGATCCAGCACCAATTCCTGCAAAATTCACTTGTCAATTCCTGCAATTGGCAGTTTTATTTGAAGCATTTATTATATTTTCCTTTAATTGTACTTCATTATCCGTTTAGCAAGTCCAATATTCCTGCAAAGTCAGCAACTTTAGTTCGTTATAATCTTTTTATTCTAGTTTGTTCATTTCCTTTGAACTTTTTATTTCACTATCATCACCTAAGAAAATATTGAAGTCCACTTCGTTGATGCAAAATCCGAACCGGTTATCCATCTTCCTGACCACACACAATTCCTACATTGGAAGTCAGAATCCCACACCTTAGACTAGGTTCAAACATCCTGACACGCCCGCGCAATCCAAAGCATCAACACTACGCCCAAAGTTGTGTTTTCCCTTTTAAGGGTAAACAACGTTACAAAAATTTGAGTATACTGCAACAGTTTCACAAGAGAACAAAATGAAGGAGAAGAAAGGTGAGAATGAAATGCTGATCCATATCACAAAACAGTCAAACAGGTACATATAAATATACAAACATATATATATATGCATATGTGACTGTAACACATTACTTTTGCAATAACTCATACCAGAACTTAGCCCTGTTCTCAGTAGGAACATAAAACATAGTCTCAGCCAACACGCCACATTCTCCTCCTGAATCCATGTTCCCATAGAACGATCCTGTTCCAGGCCAGTCACGTTCATGGTTCCCACTGCAAGGAAAAACTATTAATTCCCATATGCCACACAAGAGGAGAGAACAGATGACTGACTATGTGTTCCAATAATATAAAAGTTGCAACACACCTAGCAATCATATAAGGCACAGTTGAGGCAATTGGCTCAATTTGAGAAGTAAACTGATCCCACTGTGAAATATATCCATTTGCATAACAAATATCTCCAATGTGGAAGACTATATCAATGTTCTTCAAGTCCTTAATAAGCTGTTTAGTAGTGTTAAGAGAGCCGCGCTGGAAATTATTATATTCACTAGAGCCATCAGCCTCATCCTTCATATTGGAAAACGAAAAAAAGATACTTCAGAACAGAAGCTTACTGGGTAAATGGAACTGGGCTGGCTTTAGAGTATTGGAATAAAAACTCAAAATGAGTGATGCAGTGGAAAAGAAATAGATTTATTACTACATGACATAGATCTATTAAAATCACCAGTTACAATGATATATTCAAAATAGACAACAGTTGGAATCATAAATCATCATGATAAGAAAAATAAATTAATCAATAAAGAGCTAGGTTCAATGTGCATAATGAAGCTTGCAGGGTAGTTCAGACCTTTCCCATGTCACCATAAATGACTACACGTTGTATTGAATTTTGACCAGGATAAGGTGATGCCCTGAACTGGTACATCTGAGTCCATATATATGTACCATTCAACAACATATGCCCTATCTTGTATGTATACCTGCATTATAATTCAGAAAATAGGAAAACACTTTTTGTAAATTGTACCCATACTCAAAGTAGAATATTCAACTAAATCTTTTTGAAGAGGCCACCATCAAAACAAACAGTTTCTTTTTTATTTTCTTTCTTTTTTCCTCAACAAAAGTATGTATCTCGTAACATTATCAGAGAACATCACACTTCTACAAGTTCTAATATCACTTAGTATATTTCATTCTTTCGCTGATTTGGATACATTATTTAACTTTATTAAACAAAGGGCTTCTTTATATTATCATAAGTTATAAATTAGTTTATCCTTTTTTCTGATATAATAAAAATCATATAGACATACACTGTGTTGGGCCACAAGTCCTTCAGGAAACTAGTGTGTATGAATCCAGGATCACGCCATCCCACTGTTCTTGCTGGTGCACCTGCACCATGGAAATATCAGATGAATTATCTACCATAAAGATTTTTTCATAGAAGTCTTGCTCCGTTCAACCAAATGAATAAAAAGGCGAGAACATCATACTTCTACAAGTTCTAATATCAATTAGTATATTTCATTCTTTCGCTGATTTGGATACATTATTTAACTTTATTAAACAAAGGGCTTCTTTATATTATCATAAGTTATAAATTAGTTTATCCTTTATTCTGATATAATAAAAATCATATAGGCATACACTGAGTTGGGCCACAAGTCCTTCAGGAAACTAGTGTGTATGAATCCAGGATCACGCCATCCTGGTGCACCTGCACCATGGAAATATAAGATGAATTATCTACCATAAAGATTTTTTCATAGAAGTCTTGCTCCGTTCAACCAAATGAATAAAAAGGCCAGGAAACACCAACTGTGTAGAATGCTCAAAAATTGAAGTGCCAAACAAAACTTTTGTTAGTTCAATAAAAATAAATAAAAAAAGAGCATGACTTGTGTAAATTGTCTAGTATTGTCACTGATTTGCCAGTTCTTATGGAATAGCATTTTTGCCACAACTGCATTACATGTTACATAAATCTCCATACAAGATTTGATTTAGTAACAATCACTGTGTGCAAGAAGCATTATCCAAGTAAAAACAGCACCAAAAAAAATAAATAAGACTGTGTTTCATTATTAAAGATTGGTGCATGGTACTATTGAGACAGTCACTCTGCCCAGAAGGGTGTATCTATAAATGCACAAAATATTTAATTAAATTTTAATATATGATGTTTTACTCAAAACAGAAGTTCCATAATTATCAGCATATTAAAGATGTTGCCACCAGAATTCTATTTTATATCCATTACTTTGAAAGTATGTGGAAATTCAGTACAAAAATAAGGTCATCATTCCAAAGCAATGCACCTCGTGTCCATACTAAAGAATATGTTATAGAAACTAGATTCAAATGTATATTTACACTAATAGATATTTACGCACCACACATACTGCTGCGATCAAAAGTCACTGTCCCAGCTGGGGAACGGCTCTGTTCTCTTCCTTTTGGACCCCATTGAATGAAAGGTTCTGCTTCATTGATCCCATATCCACTTGTCCATGTTACGGTCATCTAAGTTTCAAGTTAAAGTACATCATCTCCTCTAAGAAAATTTTTAAAATCAACCATGTAATTAAATGACTAAATAAAAGAAACAACAAGAAAGAAGGCCCTACCCATGCATTGGCAAGGCATTAAGATAATCATCTACACAAATAAATAGCTTTCTTATACTTTCGGCATACACTACACATAAGATCTAACAACTAATGTGACAGAATTAGACTTACTTCATTCCATGTTTTTCCTTGTGCTAAGCGTGGGTACACCGGCGCATTTGGATTTGCAAAAGCTACAATATTTGACACTGCCACTAGCTTTGGCTGTTATAGAAAGAAAAAAAATTTAAATTTCATTGAAGGTGGTTGTGGCTGAAACACAAAAGCGAATATAATCTTCATATACAAGCTAAAAAAAAATGGTAAAGAAAGGAAACAAACCAACAAAAATTTAAAACAAAAAATATTTTATATAACATGGTAGATGAACAATGAATTCATCAGCTAGTGCATTCAAAACACATTATGGGGGGAAAAAATGAAGAAGAAGAAAGAAAGAAAGAAAGAAATTTCCTAATTGGAATTTCATTTGTAATTTAGATTCAGTTGGAGAGTTTTTGGTCAACTAGCCTTGTAAAGATAAACTGCGATATTAAAAACAAAATTTCAATTATAGTCACTAATGTTCTCCCACAAAATTATAATCCATCAAGAAACAGCAAGAAACATTACTCTGTCTGATTTTCGTTTTTAAGTATATATATTTGAAAATTACTAAAAATAGTTTGGTGAAAGTAAACATCAAAATGATATTTTTGAATTTTCAAAAAGTATTTATGCGCAGAAAAATAAAACAACATAAAAATGATGAGTTTTCTAAGTTTTTCATTATTTTTTCAGCAAAATTATTTTTTTATTATTTTCAAAAGAAAAATTTTAAAAACAAAACTAAATAGAGATATTGAACTGTCAAAGTCCAGCTCCAGCCAATCATTTTAAAATTTAGAAAAAGACCATAAAGGGCCAACACAGAACAATCAATGGTTCTTTATAATATTCTGTTCATGAAGGACGGTTTGACCTCCACATAGCTATGTTGGCTATATAGGAAGAGTAAGACATTGTGAGCATACAGCTAACAAACCGCCAGAAAACAACGCAAAAGAGAAGTCAGATCTCTGATTGATCAATTGAAGCCTTAATGATCCCTTGCCATTATCTTTGTACTCAGGATTTGCATAATTTGCATATTGATACTGCAAGAGAAGTGTAACAGTTTAATATTCAATTTAGTTATAGAAACCCCCTTCTTCCACTCGGAAGCAAGCCAAGAAGTCATAGAAGAAATCCAAGGCAGCGCAGCTCGAACCTTAATTGGTGCAGTACACAAAAGGGGAGGAAAAACTCTTCCATTTTCAGGGGCGCAAGTAGAAGCACTGAAAAAATAAATAAATAATTAAAATTAAATGATTTATTCAGATTAACACCATCAAAATTATATATATATATATATATATATTAATCTCAGAGAAAAATCATTTCAACCTGAAATTTGCCGGTGAAAATACTCCAATCCAATCATCAGTTGATGGGTTCGAAATGCTATATTCCACAGTCAACCATTCAGAATTTTGCCCCTATAACCGAGAAGGAATCTTGGCATCAAGACCAGACCAAAATTACACAAAATCCTTCATGAATTTTCAGATGTTTGAAACTACCCTCAGTCTCAGTAAGTTCTTGGCAGCAGACACTGGGCACTACCCATTTTATGTGGGAATCCATTCTCTCCATTGGTAATATATTAATTAGTTTTAAACATTTGGCAAACACTCCTTTTTTCATGACTGCCCTGAACTCTGAGACTGAGAGTGCAATTGAAGGTTTCCTACCTCTAACCCAAGAACTGGAGGAGAGGCTTTAATATAAGCAAGGTCATCAAGTGCAAACACTGCCTTGTGAATCGCAATTCTTGAGAGAGGCTGCTGGTCTCCATGCGATGTTGCCTCCTTGAACCCCGACAAAATTGCCAACAAAATCAACCCCAATAATCTCATCCCTCCCGCCCGAGATATGATCAACTCAATCAAAAGTCAAATACCTAACAGTAAGAACCCTATTCGCAGCAACACAACACGAATGCAATTGCAAACTCAAAAAATATATAAATAAAAGAATAATTACATTCTAAACTTAGCAAGGAATCACATGGAATGAAAATCTTAACTCACATTTGCTATTATGACCATTTATCATACCAAACATGTCTTCTTTTTTTCTTTTTCCTTTTCTTTTTTTTCAGGTTTTTCTCTCTGGACCTAATAGAAAAAAAAAAAAAAAAAAAAAAAAAAATCATAATCAAAGGCTAAAAACGAGGAATTCTTAATGCACGGCATTGCTAGTCACCCACAAAAATATATCTACCAAACAGAATCCCTAAATACATGCATGCAGACATATAAATGTGTGTCTGTGTTTAACCATTTATGGACACCAACATACAAAAACAATAAAATTCTGCACTGCTCTTACAACAGTGGGTGACAATCTGAAAATAAGCAAATATATTGGGGACACAATAAGTATAGGCGTGAGGTGGCCGGAATAAGGGGATTTTTACTATACCAAGGGGATAATATGGTTTTTTATATTTTGGGCCCAAGATCCTACCCTGATCACACCCCAAGCTCCCCCTGAGCTACGTGACAGAAAATCAACACCACCCTACTCCTCTCTACTGCGCAATGTTCGGGGTTCTAACCCGCAAATAGTGACAACAGGCGCCTATCTCCCTCAACTCATTAGACCAACTATAGATGCATGCCTACCCGGGCCAAGCCCGAAAATCAATCAAATAACATCACCCGGCTGAAGCCCGAAAAACAACCCAGAATGAAAAAATCAAATCCCTTAAATAACCCAACATTTAGTTAAATTTAACAGATTTATACTTGGACAATTTTTCAAAACATATGAAATCTCACCAGATTCTTCTTTATAGCCATTTTACCAAAATGATCTAATGGTTAATAGTGTTGAATAATCTCTAAGTATAAAATCACCATTTTGTCTTTATGGATCATCTCTAAGTATGAAATCACCACTGTGGCTTTGTGGATCAAAATTATCATTTTTCTCATAAGGGTCTAAGTTTACCATTTTACTCATATTAACTTCATCAAGTTAATTCTAAATGATCAAATCAACCATTAGTTCATTTTCTCCCAAAATATCCAATTAACCCCTAATAAGCCAAAATTACCAATTTTTTCTTTTTTAATAAAAAATACCCAACAATTCAAATAATCAAGGTATGAACTTAAGATATGAAAATATCACATTAAATCCTTAAACTAATAAAACTGGTATGGTAATCAAACATAACTTAAAAAAATACCTTTAAAATACCAAAACAATTCCAAATCAAGCCATCAATTTAACTAGTTTATTTTTCATACCAAGCAAGCTAACTAAACCAATTTTTCCAAATTTTATACACCTTAATCATCAATCATTACCTTAAAGTTAGCTAATCAACATAACTTTTATACCACAAATCATCTAATATGGCAAGGAGTACACTTTTTCAAAATTTACGAAACAAAAGCCCTAATTTAATATTTAATAATTTCTCAATCTCAAGCAAAGTTTATCAACATGCATATCATTGCTCATCAAATGTCATGAATAGAGCACTTTTATGGTTTTTAATTCAAAAACAACTATTTTAACTTCAACATGAGATTTTTGGCATGAAATACAACTAACTTCATGATTTTCTCAACTAGAGCTCAGGAAAGGAATATGAGGACATTTGAACATATATTTTTCAAATACAACCACAAAGTTTGAAAATAATTTCAATACATGAAATATAACTTCCTAAACATGCATTTTCTCAAAATAAAACCCTAGACATGCATTTCAAAGCAATATAATGAAGAGGGAGAAAAAGAAAAAACCCTCCTTATTGAAGCTTTAATCAACAAAAAAAATGAAAGAGAAAGGAGATGAGCAGTGCAGATTCAAGCCACACTAACTTTGAGATAGCAAGTAAATGTCTTCCAATCATTGTCAAGAGTGTGTAATAGTTAAGATTTAACTAAAATATAAAAAATAAATACATAAAATTGAAGAGGGGGGGAAGAAAGGGAACCCACGGGTTAGGCTAGCAGTGGCAGGTTTGAAGGGAGAGTGGTTCCTTCATTTCTGCAATTATGAGGCAAAGAAGTGTATTTCAAGAATATGCAAGAAAGATGCCCCTTTCCTTAGAGAAGCTTTGATGCAAACGCAATATTCAATGCACTAGAAGCTTGGCCTACGTGGCCTTTGCCACAGTTGTCCTATTCAATGGGGGTAAACGAACCCTTAGTGTGGTTTTTTTTTTTTTGCGAATTTATATATTATAATTTTGGAAAATTTATTTTGAATTATTTAATTAAATTTATTTTAAATAATTTCTGATTTTAATAATTTATTTTATCTCAAAAAAGTTGATTCTGAAAAATTATCCATCTCTTGATTTTTATTATCAGTTTTTGTTTTGGACATGTTAATTTATGATTATACCTTTAATTTTTTATTTTTTATTTTTATTTTTTTGTGAAAATAGAAAAAGATCCAAATGGACTGCTTATTATTATTTTATTTTTTTATGGAAAATATGGACTAATAGTGAAGAACATAAAATAAAAGTTAATTCAACTTAAACTATAACAAAGGTTAATTCAATTTACACTTAACAGGGTACAAATGACATTTATACACCCAAAGCATTGTTTCCCAACTTAATTATTAAACATTACTAAACAATTTAAATTTGTAATCCAATAATTGTATCAAACAAATCAACAACTTCTGATTAAATTTATAATTTATAATCTGTTAAGTTATAATTTACAATCTATTTTAACAGATATACCAAACACCCTCAATATTTGTTTGGGTCTCCAAAAATATATTAAAGGGTTTTTCAAGTAGGTCCTTACAAAAGGTATGGCCAAACAAGACCCCCCAAAAAAAAAATAGAATTCACTAATAGATGTTAGTATACCCTTAGGAATATGCCTATAATACCCCATTTATAATAACGCTATAAAATTTTAGATTAATTACTTAAAAGTTTTATCGGTAAAATTGGTATTCCATTAAATTCTTCTTCTTTTTTTTAACCCATAAAGTTTTTTTAAAAAAAATACTTATGTATATATGACTCTTTTACTCTAATTAAAAGATCCAAAGAATTGAGAAGCGTCAATTCATTGAGGTTTAATAAAAATTTATTACAAGTGTATCACATGGCAATGTTATCTACCAATTACCAAGCATTATGCCTCATGCCCCATGCCCTAATACAAAATTGCGGGCTCTACCCGCTTCACTAATCATAAATTTTTGGGTAATCGCCTAACTATGCCTCAAAAGCACAAGATATTTTTCCTTATTCAAATGGTATTGATGACGTGGCATTTTAGTTTTGTTTTATTATTTCAAAACTTAAAAAATTCATAACTTTTATTATACACATTTATTTTTAATAAAATTTATATTTTTAGAATCTACACAATGAGATCTATCAAACAAGCCCAATATTGAATATAAAATTTTATAAAAATAAAATCTTTTTTTTAGCTTTATAAAACTAACAATTTCTCAATTTGCGAAGCTATCTAGTAAAATAGAGAAATTTCTCAATTTTTTTTTTCAATATTAACTGGGAATATGCTCAGTTTTTGAGAAATTACTCAATTTTTTTTAGTTTTAAAATTGAGTCAATTTTCCCAGTTTTAAACTGAGAATATACTCAATTTTAAATATGAAAAAATTAGACCAAAAAGATATTTTTAGTTAAGTTAAGAAAACTTACTATTGAAAATGGTTTTAAATTGTAAATATCTAAAAAAATATATCTTTTATTTTTTTATAATTTTGTATTTAATATTAATCTTGTTTGATAGATTTTGTTGTGTTGATTCTAAAAATATAAATTTTATAAATATATATATATTGTAAAAATTATGATGATTTGAAGTTTTGAAAATTAAAATAAATGTTCCATCATCATACTTTTTTATACAATTACAAATGATGAATAATCATTGTTTGAAGGGTAATTTTGTCTATTAAAAATTAATGGAATTTGAAGGAGTAAAAAATCTTAGGATGATTTTATTTACACACTGCTAATCCTCTCAATACATACCATTACTTAGTACACACACAAAATAATTTTTATGATTTAAAAATATCTCAATTCACACCTTAACTTTTCATTACTAGCTCTATGGTAACACATCACTTGTCTTTGAATACATACCATGATACACACCAAAAACTCTTCATCTTCAAAACAGAGACCTCCATCTTCAGAGATCTTCATCGTTAATGTTAAACTCCATCACTCGCAGAGGGTTTCATTCGATCTTCATTTTCGTTATTGTCTCACCGGTGCATTGTCGTTCTTTATCTTCTTTGTCGTCTCACTATTGTTTTGCCGTTAAAAAAAAAAAAAAAAAAAAAAAATCAAAAAAAAAATTGGTCTTGTTCATGAATATAGAGTTGAACAAACTTAATGTGTTCAAAAAATTATATCTGAAAAAAAAAATAAAAGTTTAATTATTTTAACTGAACTAACTTTAAATGTTCAATTTTTTTATGTATAAACATTTAATATTTGATGATCAATCTTAATATCAAATATAAGTAATCAAACATTATGTAAAAGTTTAACTCTGGTTATTCAAACACATGACGAACAAACTCATTTGCCTAACATACGAATGAGATAAACAAAAAACCAAAAAACAGTAATAAACTAACATTTTCAATATTCAAATCAACATTTTCAATGTTTATATTAGAACCAACCATCTCAATGTCATCCATGATATGCAAATCTTCAAAACTAATTGATTTCAATGTTTTTAAACCCTAAATCTTCAAAGGCAATAATGTTTTGAGTTTAGGAAATAAGTATAATGGAGAATCAAATGAAGTGAGTTAATTGATAATAAATAATATCATAAGTGTTGTGTATTAATGGTAAAGATGATGAAGAAAATATAGTATTTATATGTTTAAACCCTAAATCCTATGGATGATGATAGTGTGTGAAGAGTATTTTATGTTTTTAAATATAAAATCTTTGAATGGGTATAATACACCTACATATTGTCCTTAATGGTCTTTTAATTTGAGGATATTATTGGAATATAAATTTAATCTGTTGATGGTGTGTACTGCAAGGATTAGTGGTATATAAATAGACTTACCCAAAATCTTATCTAGGACGTAATAGAGTACAAATTTATAAAATAGGACTTGCATATAAATGCCCCTAAATTTTTTTAATAAAATACAAAGGCCATATTTGGAGTATGAAAAAACATGGAAATTATGAGGATAAATAGATTAAAAGTATAGAAATAGATAAGTTCAAATATGGTGACAAATAGGTTAAAAACATAGCGACATATCAGTTTAGATATGGTGATAGATTAGTTAAAAATATAGGGCCAAAATCCAAATATAGGGATAAATAGGTTCAAAATATGGGGACAGATAGATTTAGATATGGTGATATATAGGTTCAAAATATGGGGACAAATAGGTTCAAGTAGGGGGAGATTTTATTTGCACTCCAAAAATTTGGTTGGACACCCTCAGTTAATAAAACAAAATTATTACTATTATATTTCTATTTGAAATAATCAAAAAGTGCTTGATATTTTAAAAAGTACAAACCATAACTAGTACCAATCTTCATTCTCTCTTCTCTATTCTTTCACTCTCTTTACCTTATATCTTCATACTCAATCCTACTTTCTTTGAATCCATCATTCTTGCATTCTATTTCATATTGAAATCAACAATGGACAACGAAGAATATGTTTCGAAGTCGTTTCTAATAGATAAGAAATGTTTTTCATTGAGCTTCTTCGTTTTTAGTTATTGGTTTTGAGAATTTGAAAATTTAATAACAAACAAATTACATTTATTCGGAAATTTTGTTTCTAAACAAATTTTACTGTCCAGACATTATGTTTCCAAATTATTCAATGTTGTTCTATATTTCATATATGAACAAAATATATGTGTTCAACTCTATGTTTCTATACATTTAAGTTTCAACTTCTTCATATTCCAGTTTTGAACAAAAACAATCCTCTAGTATTATACATCAAAAAAAATTACATATTTTCGTAAACTTGTTTCCAAATAAAATTCCTTTTGTTCAGTATTTCATATCTAAACAAAATGAAAATATCAACCTTATGTTTTCATACAATCTGTAGAGGTTGGGTTGTGGGCGATAGTGGTGTACCCAATAGTGGGTGATGACAAGGGTAGGCTACAAGGGTTTGTTGTGCTACTCTGCCATGAGAGGTTGAGTTTGGATGGAATGAGCCCTATTTAATGTGTATGGTGTCCTAAGTATATATTTAGGGCTTGTGAATGTAGAATGGATATTATTTAAAGTATTCAAAATAATAGAATAAATTTTAAAATTTTAGAATAGGATATCCAAAATATTAAGGTGTCCAAACAATCTTTTAGGATACAAATAGAGCCTCCCCAAATAGGTTCAAATATGGGAGACATATAAGTTTGGATACAAATAGAGCCTCCTCAAATAGGTTCAAATATGGGAGACAGATAAGTTAAAAAGAAACATATCTATTTAAAGCCAATATGTCCATTTTTAAGTCAAAAATGGGAACATATGTCCATATGTCCATTTTCAATGCCTGTTTGACCATTTATGAAGAGGCCTATCTAGGAGTATGGAAAACACCAACCATACTTAGAATCAATCATATCCTCTAGCTTACTCTTCAAAATAGATTGAATATCAAAACAATCTTCACATTAGGAACATTCCTCGAGATAATTGTTGCCAACTTTCTGGTAATGCAGCGGAAACAAATTGACACGCCCTTTGTGATTTCCCTGCAGCTAGGAAATTCTGGGGAAACGTTTCTATACCACCATCCCTCCTTCAATCCTTTTCACTTGATATGACCCATTAGGTTAAAACCAACTGTCAATCCAAATCAACCCATAGATCTGCTTCTCCATGGGCTATCATATTTTCCCTAGCTTGCTGGATCATTTGGAAAAACAAAAATTCCTTTTGCTTTGAAACCCAACCCCCCTCCCCTAACCCTCACTTGGACCTTGGCCAAAGTCGTGGAATGTGTTGGCTTTTTTGGCTTTGGAAGATTAATAATGTAAATTTAAGCATGCCAGCAAGGATCAATCAGTCCTTACAGAATATTAATTGCCAACCAATTAT